TAGAGTTATAGGCTCGGAAGGAATTTCTGAAGAGCTGTAAGCATTTAAAAATAAACTGACAGTACATTGACTTTTAAGCATGTTCTCATAAAAGTTTTGAACAATAATAGTCAGCATTTTAAAAAAATCAAGAAGTATGGATTATCTGTAATTTGCAAACTTTATTAGTTGAGCAGCTTTCTTTAAGGGAAAAGTTGGAATGCTTAAATAATATGATATCCTGGGTTTGTAAGGTAATTTATCCCCCAAATTTTTTCCATTTGATATAAAGACTGTGCTTACAGTCTATATTCTATACAGAGAATATAGAACAAAAAGATAAAATTCCCTATTTATGAAAACACAGAGATAAGCACAGTAGCCACCTTTAACAGTTCAATGTATATTCTCAAGCCCTTGTATAAGTGAAAAATACATATATTTTCTAAAATTGATATCACTACACACTTTTTAATAGTTTGCTTATTTTACTATAACACACACAGTTTTTTATGTCCATCTATCAAGATAATTCATTGTGATTTCTGAGTACAGCATATTCCATAGGATGGATATAATTTATTGAGGCACTTCTCTGTTGAAGGATGTTTAGATTGTCTCCAGGTTTTTAATAATGCAAATAATACTTTGGGCCTGGGGCTCAGGGTGACATCATACTGGGCGTGATGTGCATACCTGTGAATCGCAGCTGCTCAAAAGAGTAGAGGCGGGAGGACTGCAGCTCCCGGCCAACCTGAGCAACATAGCAAGACCCTGCCTCAAAAGCAGATTTTAAAAAGGGATGCAGAGCTCAGAGCATGCAGTGCTTGGAGTGGCCTTTCTGCTTACACCCTGATGCTGCCCACTCAAGTGGCCTTTGTAGAGCCACCTTGCTGGCTGTGACGCTCTTGCCTGTCTGAGACTCGGTTTTCTCTTCGGTGAGACAGGAAAATGGTTATAACTTCATAGAGCTTTGAGCTGGGATGGTAGAAACCAAAGCATCTCATGACGGCTAGTTCCTCTCACTGCCTATATCGGGATTTCTCATTCTGCCCACCCCAGGAATCCCACGAGGCGTGGGCTTTGAGGTATGTTTAAAACACACCAGGACCTGAGTCCCATCTGTAGGTTTAATCGATTGTTTAAGCTCTTCCAGCGATTCCTTTCGGGGTAGGGGACCATTTCCCTGTGTCTGTGGGGCTGAACCAGGAGCTGGACTGTGCTGCCCACTCTTTTCCTCTTGGTAATGGCTGGAGGAATTTTTTACTGGTGCAACTGGGGCAGAGATGAGGCAGCAGATGGTACTGGCTTCTGGATGGCTCCAGAGCTGCAGCCAGCCATCCTTTGGGGCACAGGACAGCCCCCACAGAGGAAGTCCTCAGTCCCAGACATCAGCGGTGCAGAAAGAAGGAATCCTGGGCAGGATCATTGCTAGAATCCCTTCTGTGATGAAGGGATGGGTCACTTTATTTTTGAAGCAGGCCAGCACCAGAGGTGCCAACTTCCAGTGCTTTCCTTTGCCTGCCCTTCTGGCAAGTCCTTCCTTGCTTCCTTAA